TCCTCCCTTAGGTCCAGTAGTCGGGACCACTCACCCCTGGCAGGGGGGTGGGTGCAGCCCGTGACAGGCGAAGGGGAAGCTGCCCGAGAGTCGCTCAAAGTCCTCCTGAGAGATGGTTCCTCGGCCTTCAGGGTCGTAATTCTTGAACACAGACTTTGGAGGAGCATGGGAAGGGGCGAGTAAGGCCAGGTCGTCAAGGTATGACCCCTACAGTCTTAGATCCCCTCCTCCAGGGTCAGGGCTGTACAGATAGATACCTTGCCCCCCGGCCCCCAGCGGCCACGGTCCCCTCCTTACCTCCACCAGCTGCTCCACATGCTGGGCCAGGGTGACCCTGTCGGGCTTGGGCGTCACGCTGGGGGCCCACTCCACCACCAGGGGTGCTTTGAAGGGGGAGGGGAGCTGGGGTGGGGACAGAGGGGCACAGTGAGTCAGGCCACAGTGGAGCTGGGAGCCAGGGGTCAAGGATTGGGTCTTACCAGACTCTTGTGACAGCGGGGCTCCCGGGCATAAGAAAGCTCGTAGATCTCGTCCTCCGTGTAGAAGAGATCCAGGGAAAGCTGGGGGGTGGGCAGGGGCATTACAGACCCCTTGTTGCTTCCATCCTCACTCCTGTGTCTCCCACCTACAGCCTGCCTCCTTGCCTGAGCCCCTACTCCCCCCCCTTCCCAAAGCCCCTCCTGTCTGAGAACCCTAGGGTCTCATCTCCCTCCAAGCCCCATTCACTCTCCATACCATCCCTTCCCTCTCTTCCAGAAACGCCATTTTATCACTGAGGATTTGATTTTTTTAACCTCCTTATGTAAAACTAGAGTCCCTGGACAGTGCAAACAGTTAAAGTGCTCAGCTGCTAACCGCAAGGTTGGTGGTTTGAAGTCCACCCAGAGGTGCCTCAGAAGAAAGGCCTGGCAATCTACTTCTGAAAAATCTGTGGAAGGTGACCTCATGGAAGGTGTGCAGGAAGGCCAGGCCCAGCTGGGAGCAGACGGCACTGGCCCGGAGCAGGTAGCCCGTCGGCTCCTCTCGGCTGAAGGAGCCATGCCTGGGGGCAGAGACAACCGTATGGAGCACAGTTCTGCTCTGACACACACGGGGTCGTCATGAGTCAGAATTGATGACAACTGTTTTTTTGTTCTTTAATTTAAAATTGCAACCCCATCACCTCCCATGCACATTTCTCCTTTGTTTTTCTCCGTAGCACGTTTCCTTGTCCAACAGAGCACGTGATTTCCTTACTTTCTTTGTTTTATTGGCTGTCTCCCCCGCTAGGATGTCAGCCCCACAAGAGTAGCTTTTTTTTTTTTTTCTGTTTTGCTCACTGCTGTGTCCCCAGTACCTGAATTAGTGCCTGGCACACAGCAGGTGCTCAATAGATAACTTGAGCTCATGGCCTGTTATGAATTGTGTCCCCAAAAAATATGTGTTGTAAATCCTAGCCCTGCTGGCACAGTAGTTAAGAGCTCAGCTACTAACCAAAAGGTTGGCAGTTCAAATCCACCAGCCACTCCTTGGAAACTCTATGGGGCTGTTCTGCTCTGTCCTATAGGGTGGCTGTGAGTCCAAATGGACTCCACAGCAGTGGGATGCCTGTGTTTATAATCCCATTTGGGACTGGGTTTTCTTTGCTATGTGAATGAGGCAGGATTAGTGTAGGCTGTGTCTTGAGTCAATCTCTTTTGAGATATAAAAGAGATTAAACAAGCAAGCAGAGATGGGGGAAGATAGGTGCCAAGCCACATGGAGATCTCCAAGGAACCAGGAGGCAGAAGCTGAAGAGACAAGGACTTTCCTCCAGAACCCACAGAGAGAAAGCCTTCCCTTAGAGCCGGTGCCCTGAATTCAGACTTCTAGCCTCCTAAACTGTGAGAAAATAAATTTCTGTTTGTTAAGGCCACCCACTTGTGGTGTTTCTGTTCTAGCAGCACTAGGTAACTGAGACATGACCCCTTAGAATCAGCAAAGCACAGGGCCTCAGGCCCCTGTCCTCTCAAGGCACGGCCAGCACATGTTTGAGAGTTATGACCCCGAAGGGCCCATGCTTCGTTTAATGCCCAGCTGTCATCGTCTTGAAATTCTTAATACTTTTTGAACAAGGAACTCTGCATGTTCATTTTGCACTGGGTGGGCCCTGCAAATTATGTGGCTGGTCCTGTCTGAGGGTCTGAACATCACCTTTCAGTCTTAGACCACAAGGCCCTCAGAATCCCACTCTAAAAACGGGCAGGTCAGTCACAGCCGCAGCCCAGCGCTCACAGGGTCTTAGAACGTAATGCGGTGATCAACACATGCTAGCACACGGACGCTGAAGCTGGCCTGCCTGGCTTCAAATCCTGGTTTCACCGCCCTGGGCCTCAGTTTCCCAGTCTGTAGAATGGACACCATGAGGGTCCCCACCTCAGAGGTAATCTCTAGAGGGTGTTTAGCCCGGTGTCTGGCACTCAGTAATTTAACAGCTTTTTGCTTAGATTCCTAGACACGCTGAAGCTTGGAATTTTGGACCAGCAGCGTGGGAAAGTCAGAGTCCAGGAGTCTGAAAGCGCACAGCAGCCCTGGAAGCTCAGATCTTGAGCTGGAGACCCTGGAGGAATCTGGCTGAGTAATCCATCTGTGTTCAGATACTGTTTTCAGTACTTTATAGAAATTATGTTACTGACTCTTCTCAACAGCCCTCTGAAGTGGGTCCTATTATTAGGCCCATTTTGCAGGTAAAACCGAGCCTAAGAGATCAAGAGACTTGTCTAGAAAAGGCCCTCCAAGCTCTGGCATCCCAGCCGGCGCATTCCAGCGCCATCCTGTCCTGGCCCTGCGGACCTTCCAGGCCCCGCCTCCAGCCTGCGCAGGGCGGGGCGGCTCACCGTGAGCAGGTGCAGCAGGTCCTGGTTGGCGCTGCAGGGCGGACGCTGTCCCTGAAGGGCTGCCAGCTCCTGCAGCCGCAGGTAGAGGCTGTTGAGCTTGGACAGGTGCAGGCGGCCATCAGGCAGCCTATCGGGCTGGGCCTCGTGCAAGGACACCAGGTCCTTGAGGTGCACACCCAGTACAGGCAGCCGGAAGCCCGTGCAGCCGGCCCAGGTGCGGCGGTAGCAAGAGTAGTTGTTGTCGGCGGCAAGGAGCTCGGTCAGCTCCAGCAGGACCTGTGGGGGTAGGGGTGGGCGTGGAGGGAGTGTTACGGGGGACACGTTACCGGGAGACGCTTCTATTCCCTGCTAGTATGGTAGCAGCCTCCTTTGTTGGACCCAGACCCCAGGGACCCAGAGGCCTTTTGGACACCTCCCTGGGCCGCTTTGTGTCTCACACGGGTCTCAGCATCTCTCCCAAACGGCTCCTCCTCTTGGGTCCCCGTCTCAAAGAGGCCCCACGTCCACCATGCTCCAGGCCAGAGGCCCTCAGCCAGGATGTCACTCCCCTACACACACACGAACACACACACACACACAC